TATATATATATACATATATTTGCTTGAAAAGGAGATTACTTATATCAGAAATACATTTTCCTCAATGAGATGGCATTCTTTGTGGTAATCAGAGCTACAAGAATAACTTTGTTGCACTCCTTTAGAGTTTAATGTGAATAACAAAGTTGTGATTAAGTGTTGAAGTTGGGTAATGACTCGTGGAAGGAGAATATGACAAATTAAGGAATCCATTCTTGTGCACTCATTAATGTTAATGAGTAAGAAAGCTTCAAATTGCTGCTTCATCTTGAAGAAATATAACTCAATAATAATTGATATACACTTTAGTTTAACATATTATATAATACATTTTTAAAAAAATCATTATTATTTATTTAAAATTAAAAGTAAATAAATTTAAAATTATAATTATATACATAAAATGTAAGAATTGACTAAATCAATTATATTTATATTATATTTTTAATTGTTAAATTAGAGGAATATCAAAAAATATATTGAATTTACTTTGTAGTAATCATTTTCTAATGAAAATGATTCCTTCTTTACCATTGCTTGTGGTGGACACCATATTCCCACTTAATATTGATATCATTATAACGTATTCACATAATAAAGGATAAAGCAATTGCTTTTTCGTTTTTTCTTTTCCCCCAACAAAAGCAATTCCTAGTTTGGTACTAGAAAACAAGAGCTAGGTTCTTTAGGTCAGTCATGTTGTGATACATACTAATAATAATTTTTTTTATTAAATTTTCAGTTTTTGAAAGTTACATTAGATTTTGCTAATTTAGAATCGAGCTATTTTGGACCCAATAAGAGAAAACTTTTTCAATATGTGTTTCTCCATTTATAAGATTAGAATTCAAAATTTTATTTAAAGAGAACCGAATATCTTTTATTTAAACTAACAAATCATTGGTAATATATACTAATAATGAATTCATGATGACGTTGCTTTTAAATAAAATTCAGTCCCTTGTCAATTTTGATTAATAGATTTTTCAAAATACAGGTTTCTCATATTGGACCTACAGCTATGGGAAATGATTTTTGTATAACTTTTGTTACAACTTTTTTGTCTCACTTTTTTGTACAGCTTGATGTGTCATTTAAATGATTGGTTCTTTTAATTTATATGAGACCCATAATATTAAATGTATTCACTCATTTAATAATATGTAAAAATTATCTAAATATATGACATAAAAAAAATTGTTACTATAGCACCACCTACAACTAATGGAGCCACTAACAAAACCTTTATATTCTTTAAAAGATAGAGATTTAGGATATGTTAGTTTAATAAAAACGGATGAGAAGGGAAGTGAACCCCTTCCTTCATTTAGTTGAAAAAAAAAAATTAGAAGAAAGAAGAGAGAAGAAGCTTCGCGCCTATTTTGTTTTTGGCTTTTAATTCATTCAATTCCAACTTATTCAAATAAATGAAGAGAAGAAGAGGAATCCTTTCATTTCCCTTCCTCCTCTCTCCCGTGTTGTACTTAAACAAAACGTACACCAAAGTCCATTGTAAAAATTGAGGAAAATGCCATTTTTTTGTTAATGTCAAAACACTTAAAACTCACAACGTCAATGCTGTAAGGCCTTAATCTGTCCACTACAGCAGAGGCCTCATTAGCAATTTTGTATTATTCCTTGTTGATACTCGAAGCACAAAAAATTAGGCCTTCGCAATATTTGTATGTAAATTGTGATATTAGCTTACAGGAGATTGTTGTACAATAAACTCAGGTCCAGAGTTCAGAGGGAGAAGACTCCAATAAGAACCTTGTCTGTCAATACAACAGCTAAACCATTTGATTGTATAGCAACCCACTGGAAAATGAGAAACATCAAGCAAGCAGCTTGAGAATCCTTGTCCCTTCACATTAGGCTCAAAACACACGTATGACTGCACAATACCACAATCCTTGTTAACAATATTGTCCCTAGAACGCTTTCGAGGGTTAGCTTTCTTTGTGCACTCTGTCACGTAGCAAAACAGATTCTCATTCATTTCCACCATATCTTCATTTTCCCAAGGTCGAGAATCCCACTGCACTGTTTCCCCATTTCTTTCATTCTGGCATGGCTTCTGAAAGGATGATACTCTACAGCATAAAATGCAGTACATTCTGGACAGCCGGAGTGGAAATTCTGATGGCATATTTCTCAGTTGAAGACATAGATTTAGTGAGATGGTGGAGCCTTGAATGACGGTTATCTCATTTGAGTTCTTGGCGTCTGCATTGAATGCAAAAAGCTCTGAACCAATGCAAGGCCTGAAATTTATTTTCAACTTTAGAGACAAAAAATCTTAAAGCAGTGAGATATGGATGATTAAAATAGAGTACATAAGGAATCCATAAACTAGTATGGTAAATGATGGACTCTGTATTGTACATGATGCATAACAAATGAGAAAATAGCAATTGATGTCAAGTTTATACCTTATTTTAAAGAAATGCCTTGGAACCTGGAATGGTATGTTAATCCATTGCACAACCACTTCTAAGAGAAGTTGCAATCCTTTCTTGGTAACATGGGATACAATCTCCTCATTTTGTATTTTGTTGACCTCATTTCGCAAGCAAACCATGCCAGAAACAGCATACTTCAAAACACTAAGAACATCCCTTACTTCATGTCCACAACTCAATCTTTGACTTCTGAAGTGGAGGTGCAAACATTTCTGCAGATCTCCTGCACCACCCTCAAAAAGCAGACCTATCTTCATGCCAGTCTCATTATCAATATGAGACAACCGGCCAACCATATGCTGCAATAGCATTGAACATGAATAATTCTGCTGTGAGTTTTCTGGGTTAAAATTGGTTAAAGTTTCATATGCAAGAAGGCTTGGAAAGAAAAGTGGAAATCCAGAAGTAAAGGCCAACACAGAACAACTTAGTGCAAGTGCTGCAATGATGTTTGAAGTATCACCATCCATGCCAATGAAAGATGCACTCATCAGATCAAATTCCTTCGCTATCATCTTCAATTGAAAAGATATCTGAGTGATTTTCTGAAGAGGAATTGGTTCAATCAGTATTCTTTTCTCAAAATCTCCATCATTGTCTACATTCTCCCACTTAGATGTACCCAAGATTTTGAGTACCTCTACTATGGTCCTGAGAACTTTTGCTCTTAGGGCCAAAAACCATCTTTGGAAGCAAAATTCTTTCCCAGATATGTCAATTTTTTCTAATAGTTCCACTGAAGAACAAAGACTGCCTTGTGCCTCAACAAGTACTTCAATGTAACCAGGCTCATTAGTAATACCAACAGCATCATGGTTAACTGCACCTAGATTATCTTTGAAAGGGGATTTTTCCAACTTCAGATTATCTACAAAGTTGGACTGTTGATTTGTCAGGAGAAAAAGCCTTACTTTCCCTTCAGAATGAGAAAACAGAACTAAAGATTTTAACCAGGAATAATAGGAATCAGATTTAACCTTATTCACAAGTTGCTCAAAAATAAAAGTTGCAATGAGCCATGCTCCCTCAGTTGCAGCATGTATTCCAGCTTTGTAAGCAGGCCAGTAATCCCCCTCTGTCAACATCTTCTTGGCATGCTCATGGATAACAAATTCATGCTCAAGTAAGTAACTGGGAAAAGAAAGAGCTGAGATTCCATCAACACTGATAGTTTCCTTGTTCTCATTTACCGTGGAATGAGAAACAATATGAGCATTGAGCACTGAAATGTAGGTTGTACGTATGTAGAAATCAAACAACCCATGCTGATGCAGATGATCAACCAGGAACTTTACTTTGTTAGATATATCGACGGTAATTGAAGCTACATCATTTAGATTTTGAAGGCAAGCCACAACAAATCTGTTTATATAATATAGAATTTTGGAAATTACTTTGCGTTTTGCTCCTTCAAACTTCACAATCTCATCCATACCTGTCTGCCCAGTAGCCACCTCATTGCCATGCAGATCCACAATGTAATCAATAAATGAAACAATTTTGTCCAACACCAGGACACCTAAATCTGGATTTTCTCCAACCATCTTAAGAAGAAGCTTGAGCAGTACTTTGACTTCTTGAAAAACTGTTGAGTTGATCTCACAAAGACCATGAAATGGTTTCACCACTGAGATGATCTGCTTTATAATTAATGAGATGACCTTTGATGGCTGATGTGAGAAAGAACGATCAATGTATCCAGTTTCTGTACTTTCCCAAAGCTTAGATGATATATCAGCCAGAAAACTAAAGGCACAGAGGCTATTTGAAATGATTGTTGACTGGGAAACAATTTCAACAATGGCTAAAAGCTGAGTGATATCAAGCATGTTGAGAGAAGGAACATCATGCAGCTTAAACAAAATGATCTGCAAATTTTGAAGGATGAGTCAACACAATTCAAATGTTATAATGCAAAATCTTAATTTTGCTGTTAGCATAGAAATCACCTTATGCAAGACTTGGAGAGCTTGACATTGCATGCCTGGTGAAAGTTCAGATTCTTCTAAAGTGCTGAATAATGTTTTGATCAGGCATTCGGTAACAGGAGGGAGAAGCTTTTGTTTTACAAAAATGAAGTGTAAACACTTTAATGCTATTGCTCGCAGCTTCCAAGATTCTTTTTTGAGATACAATAAAAGTAAGTCTACCTGCATCATTTGACAAGATTTAAAAATCACTCTGTTGATCCTTTAAAAAATAATGAGAGCAAGATACATAAAGAGAAAATGCTCTATAGATAGAAAATTACAGTTGTCCTTGATTATCCATGAGATGAGAGAGAGAGATTACATGGTTTAAGGACAGACGTGTAAAACAAATTACACCACTATAGAAAACAAAGCAAACAAGCAATGTTATGGATTCTTCCTCCATGAAAAGAAGAATACAATAGTAAGATTTGACTATTTACCTGTTTGGAAATAAGAGTTGTGGATTTGCAAGCAAGTTTGGTAAGTGAAACCATAAAGGCAACAATAAATTTCTCTTCTGAAGAATCAGACACCAGCTGTAGACCTGTCTGCAAGAAAATGCCAGTTAATAGCATATCCATAAGCTATTACTGATAGATATATATAAGTAGGGATCCACTTACATACAAGTTTTACATACCACACTTACACTAAATCTTCACGATTTTTTAGATGGCTGAAATTTATCACAATTTTTTAGATGAGAAAGATAATTATCAAAGTATTCTAAGAAAATAAAAATTACATTATCAACTCTTGCAACTAAATGGACAGTGTTCGTTTAAAAAATTAGAGAAGCATGTCCTGATGTCCACAAAGTCATCCTTTAAGTTTAAAGGTTAAAATATTTGAAGTAAGAAAAATGAAACACTACAAATTTCAATTGTATCAGGAAGAGAAAGGCAAGCAGAAGAGACGCAAAACCTTGAAGGCTTTCATCGCTACTGAATGTGAACAAGTCATATTAGCAAAAACTCTTGCACCAGACAACCTCATGGCTTCTGCTGTTGCCAGCATAGACATAATATTGACCAGCATCTCTAAGACAACAAATGCAAAGTCATCTACTAACTCACAGAAGCAACCAGCAGCAAATAATGATGCTTTCACCTGCAGAAGCGAAATCAAAGATCATAATTTAATCTCACTCTTTTTCTATAAATAATCTGTTATAGCAGGTGGCTAGGTAGCTAGTAAGAATGATAGAAGCATTTTGGAATCAGGAGTTCAAGTAAAATGTCAACATCTGATGGGCCCATAAATATACTGAAAATAACAATTAGTTTCACAAACATAATATATAAAAATTTTGATTCTTATGAGCATTATGAAAATAAACAGAATGTATCAATGTTATAGATTTTGCACCAATTAGCTAGTGTAATCACTTTTCTTTGAAAAATTAGATTGACTAGATAAAATTGACGGTCATGAGAAACAGCAATTGAGTTGTAGAAACAAAATTGGTAAGAAGACATTAGACTCACCTCCGGAACAGAGGAAGAGACCATACTGGAAAGTACCAAATAACGTATCTCTGCACTATCTTTTGCAAAATCAGCCCAACAGCCAAACAAAATCAAAGCCAATGCCCTTGACTCAACATCCCCAGTTTCAAAAACAGCCTTCACTCTACTCAACAATTCTACATGGTTTTGCACCCTGCCCTTCGACAAAATCCCTTTGATTCCTTTCTTTAACTCATTTCTTCTATGCTGTCTGTGATTTGACAAGAAAACCATGACAATAGATTTCCTAATCTCTCTATCCCCAACCCTAAATGCATCTGCAAGCCTTAAAAGTATGGTATTGGCAAAGAGCCTGTCCTCGCCTGGGACTAAACTGAACATTGAGCATACAGCCTGTTTTGCTTCTGGTTCTTGACTCCACCGCTTAAGTCTTGACCCAGTCTCTAATATAGCTTCAATAGCTCGAGCTGAAAGATCAGAAACTCTTGTTAGAGCTAAAGGCTATGTGGAAGGAAAAAAATTAAAAACAAAACTTTCGCAGTGGAGCTGCAGAATTATGCACTTTCATTGAAGAAAACATATAAAGAGAAGTCTAACCGCGTTTCTTGGAGCGTAGGGCTTTCTCAAGCTGGATGCTCCATTCCATGGCGCAAGCTGCAGATATCTTCTCCATCGCAAATTCGTTTAGACCTCGTCTTCGAGAAAGAGGGTAGCAAAAACCTCAGTCCACAAGCATAAACGCTCATGGGAACTAGAAAGAAACAAAGGAATCAAAATAGTTGAACAGCATTCTCAGTCAGGCATTTAACGAACACCTGGTAAGCAAAAAAATAGGCAACGATTAACGCTACCGTGAAGATGATGCCTTCACCTCAGAGGTGTACGCATAGTTATCTGGGCGGCATTCTCCTGTCTCAAGCATTCCAACAAACACATTAAGCTCGTCATAGCAACAACCACTATTGACATACACGATACAGCCTTATCATGGCGTTATAAAAAAATGAGCTTCTTTCGGGCAATTCATCGAACAGTTCACTGGGGTTCGGGATGTACCCAGACAGAGAATGGAGAAAGGAGGGAGAGGGTGCCAGATAAGGAAGGAGAACATTAGAACTTTTTTCCAGAAATCAAGAGTATTTCTCAACTGCAACTCACTAAAATCCTATCAAAACAAAACACATTTTTCAGTTTTTATTTGCTTTCAAGGATGAATAGAATTGAGACTACAAAACAGGGCAGAAAGAGAGAGCAGAACAAACAGTAGTGAAAGGTCAATTTGGTTGGTGGATTGCGCTGCGAAAGACATATACCAGGCGGAGGAAGAAGGCTTTTAATTGCACATTCCAGAAACGACGTCGTTTATGTACTTGTCCATTAACTTTTAAACGTGAACGAGTTGCTCCTTTTATTTTGTTTGCTCCTCATTTAAGTTCTCTACGATAAAACCCTGAAAACTTTGTAAGCTTTACTGTTAAGTCCACTTGCTTTATTTTTATTATATTTAACATTTTATAGGTTTATATTATTTATTGACTTTCTAATTTTTTTTCTTCAAATTTCATTATTTTTACATTTTCATATTTTTTCATTGACTTTAGAAATTTTATTAAAAATACATTGTAAAATCGAGTTAGAACTAGCAATCCTAGCAGGACGTCATTTTTTTTTAATAAAATTTTTGAAGGCTCTGCAAAATAACTCATTCCATTTGCTTCCCCAGATTTAGAAATGTCGATGCACTTGCACTTGCTTTTAATTTTGCTATTGGACCCTTCTAGAGGAAGCTTCAAAATCCTTTAATCATTAGAGATCGACCTTTTAGAGTGTTGTAGTATTATTGGTGTACCCTTTAGACGAATAGGGATGGGGACTACCATCTGTTGTCATAACAACCACGTTATCATGCAATGCAGTAAACTAGTGGCATGACAGAATAGTATGTAGGCTAATCTCTAGTGGTAATTGGTAATTATTAATCTGTCTTGGCACAATAATAATAATGGGTCTATAACCATGGCAATCAAGGCAGCCACGATTTTTTTTTTTTTTGTTGTATTTTTCTTTTAAGTTGATTAAAATTTGAAGATACAAAGACCTAAACTTAAAGTTATTGAAGATAAAAAAAAAAAAAAAACTTAAAATTATTTTATTTAAGGTATAACTTATCTGTTTCACTTGAAATATTTCTATTGCAAATTTAAATTATTTTTAGTATAATAATGTAAAAGATTTCATTATTAAAAAATTTTGATGGGTAAATAATTACAAAACATATCTTTAATATAATAATATTGATGATAAAAATCATTGTCAAAAAATTTGTGACAACCAAACAAATCATATCGGTAGGTCTAACTGTATATCTTTTCCCAATCCACGTAGGCCTCACTGGCCTTATATACTTAATCTCGAAATTAGAGATATTCATCATCTTTGTTCCATTTTGATTAGGGCTTCTTTTGTACAAAAACTCATAAATCAATTGTTGTGCACCCAATATTTTCACAATGACCAAGATTTGAACCAAAGCACTACTATGCCAAAATTCCTCAACCCCCTACCCGAAGCCCAAATAGTGCTTGCTCAAAAAAAGGAAAAAGAAGAAGAAGAAGAAGAAGAAGAAGAAGAAGAAGAAGAAGAAGAAGAAGAAGAGATTAGGGCTTCTTTCAAGGGCTTCACTTGTGAACCTTCAATGGGCTTCGTAAGCTGTGTTGGTGTTGGATATTTGTCTCTTGTCCCAACACATTGTTAGCATATTTATTTTTTTGATGGAAAGTTTAGCACAATATTTTTTTTCTTTTGGGTCAGCAACAACACATGGTTAGCACTTAAATAAGCCCGTTGCAGATCATCATCATACTTACCTAGACCCAGCAAATAGGGCTCAGGCCCATTGATTGTGGGCAATTAAGAGTTTTTATTATTTTTGTTTTTTGTTTTTGTTTTTTTAACATATTGAAAGGATAAAATTTAAATTGATTAATAGTAGTTGAGTAGATAGCAAATTAAAATTATCTCCTTTATGAGTTTTTCTTTCACTATATATGTAAAACATAAACATAATACATTATTAATATATTGTAAAATAAACATAAATGATTGATGCTAAAAGACATTATCTAAGATTAGGGCTTTAGCCTATTAGTTGGTAGTAGTTGAGTAGATAGCTAACTTGGCTTATAAGACAACACTCACTAATTAGTGGATTCAACTCTTGAATTTCAAACATGACATCAACTTATTGACACTTTATTTCCTTGAGGTAGAGCAGAGTCTGTGGTTACACACATTACCCTATTTTTGGTATCCACTAGTTTTCTTTCTGCTTCTTCCTTAATTGGAATAAGTATTTGCATTGTGAGGTTTGGCTATTCACACCATGTTAATTTATTTCTTCTTTTCCTTTTTAAAGACAAATTTGTTATTCTTTCTTTTGCTCATTGAGTAATAATTGCTAAAGATAATCAATTTTATCTTCTCAAGTCAAAGCTTTTTGGTATCAAGTTTAAGAAACGAAAAACAAGGACCAAACAAAAATTGTAAAAGAAAGTCCATTCTAAAATAAATTGCATCAAACGCCAAACAAAAATGATGTCCATTTCTACCAACACATACAAGATATATCACACATTAGGATAAATAGCAAGCATCCTCTTAACATCATGAAACAGATGGTTCTCGAGCGTATGTGGAGAAAATGGAGTGAGTGTCTTAACTCAAACACGATGTCACAGTCAATCTCATAACAAACTTTTTGAGAGAATGGAATTGAAGCAAATCAAAAAGGATATAGGTGGTTTTATGCATCTTCCTTGTCACCTGATTGTGAAACTAAACAAAGGTCATTCATCAAACAAAGGTTATTCCTGATCATTTTGAAAATGACTAACACCTGCATGTATCCATAATTTAACATTCATTTTCTCTAAAAAAGACCTAAACCAGCATGCATGTTCAATGGTTTTAGAAACTAGGCAAGGAAGATTGTGACATCAAACAAAGGCACATTTTGAAATTCAATATTATCTTCCTTGAAAATGACCTACACCCACATAACTTCAATTTAAGGAGGCATCTTCTTTGTTAACTTCCTTAGAATGTCATACACCGCATGAAACTTCAATATGCACTATATATATCATATCTCATCATAACCACATGCAACTTCAGTTTGCACTAGCTATATATATTATATCTCGTCACTTATCATTCTCTCCTTTCACCAACAATCTAAGTAACTCAATGGTAATCTCTTTCTGTTGGAAGTAAGAGGTCCTAAGTTTAAGTCACATAGCATGCAGATGGGGTAGGTTGAGGGATGGGAAAGGATTGCCTTCTATTATGCAATCCAAAAAAAAAAAAAAAATTATTCTCTCTTCTCCTCTGATTAAGATTCACCATGAGAAACTCATCGATCCTTTGTTTTGATCTCCTTGTGTTCGTTTTTCCTCTCTTTTTTCCACCATAATGGCTGGTGACCTAGTTACTTTATTGCAATTCACAATACAATGGCAACCAAGTAAGTGTTCAGTGACTAGTACAACATGCAAAGGGACACCTACGGAGTGTTTCACCATTTGGTCAGCTTCTTCCTCTAGGAAATCTATCATACATTGCAAAGGTAACCTATTAGCCAATGAGCAGCAAGTATGATTCTATATTTTTCATTTTTCTTTTCCTTTAGTATATTTTTCTTTTATTAATTATTTGCTTAATTGATTGATTAGCTAACTAAAGTGGTACTTGATCTAAAAACATATTGGCCAAATGTGGAGAATGGTAATGATTACAATTTGTGGACCATTGAGT